CGCTTCAAAAAAGGGGAGGTGTTGGGGTATTCAGAAAATACCCCAGAAATTATCGAATGCTATTCCTGAATGAGAAATTGTGTCATTTCCCCATTGGTCAATATTCTTCCAACGTGTCATCTCCCTATTGATCAATATTTATTTGTGTCTCCCACATTCACAGCCACTTTTGACTAAATCTCGTATAAATGTTATTTTTTATTTTGTGGTACTATGTGATCTGTCTGGTTGATATAAAAACTCAGTATGTTTGGAATACAGGATTCATACCTTAGAGGGCAAGATCGGTGTTCTAAATTTAACAGGTAGAGCTAGGCAGGAAAAAGGACTCTAGACTGCTCGTATAGGTTTATGCGTCATCGGTCCTTTCGACAAGTCACTGATCTTTAATTGACAGTATCATCTCGCTATATATTAATAGGGTACAAGGTCACATGTTATATCAGGTAATTCGGACACGTTGAATGAAAGAATATACCAATCAAGACTTGAAACTTACGACTGAAAAATAGAGTCGAAAGAACAGTTAAGATAAAACAAAATCCCCCAACCAGTTTATCTATATGAGAATTTGTTCAAGGGTAATTTTGTCATAGGTGGTTTTTTATACATTTTACTCAGTTATTCTTAGAACATGACTGTTTTGAATCTGTTCTGAATAATAATTGTGTTTTATAAAGATTACGGGATATTTTCATTGAACTGAAATATGTGTATTTGTCTAACAAATTTCGGTGACCGAAGGTACCAACATTAGGAATCTTCGAGATCAGTCTATTGAACTATAAAATTATGATATTTAAATGATTGTCTCAATGTTACTACATCTAAATCAAATCTTAGATAAATTTCTATATCAGCTTTTATTGGGAAAAACATGCGCACCGATTCACGACTGACTTATTTCAAGATGTTCTTGTTGCTGAGTGAGACAATGTGACTGGTGGAGTTCATGACAGTTATCACCAGTGAATGATTGTTTTGCTCTATAAAGAGCTAACTAAATTAAGAACTGAATTACTGGACGATAACCCACTATTTTGACTATTTAACGTTCACCACACGATTTAAAGACCTAGCATTCGATCATTAGTGATATCGTGCGTGCTCACTGCCGTGAATTTCTATGCTAAAAGGAAACGGCTATTCACTGCTCTTTACCTTTTTAATAATACTTCAAATGAAATCAATCTGTGACGAATACAACTAACAAATCATTAACGTCGTATTCTTTCTTGTTATTCCTCATTTTGCATTGTATTTAATCAATTTCTGATGGGAAATTTCCATTTTAGATGGAATCCTTAATGTTACGCGGAGATAAAAATTTTGGTATATTACTTTTGGTATATGCTAAGACTCAGGTACATTCAACTGATGTGTCTAAAATTGGAAGTGATGGACCACTAAGCTTCGCTGTTTGTCTAAAATTTTGAATACTATTATGAAATTGTTGCGACAAATGTTATACATATAGGTATTACTCTAAGTAAAACTATTGCACATTATAGGAATGGCTAATTTGTAGATATTAATCACTTTATTCTTTATTCTAGTAGTTATACTATATCTTATGAGCAGCTCCTTTTTTAACGATTAGTTGATTGCTCATAATCGGATATCTTCTTGGAAATCCTTCCTTCCTTTCTTACGCCTGTTACTCCTCGTGAAGGAGCATAGGCCGCTCACCAACATTCTTCATCCAACCCTGTCCTGGGCAGTCCTTTCCAGCTCTTTCCAGTTGTTATTCATCCTTTTCATATCTGATTCTATTTTCCTACATAATGTGTTCTTTGACCTTCCTTTTTTCCGCTTCACTTCAGGATTCCAAGTTAGGGCTTGCCTCGTGATGCAATTTGATGATTTGCGTAATGTATATCCCATCCGTTTCTACCGTCTTTTCCTAATTTCTTCTTCATCTGGAAGCTGGTTTGTTCTCTTCTATAGAAGGCTGTTGCTGATGGTATCCGGCTAATGGATGTTGAGTATCTTGCGTAGACAGCTATTTATAAATACTTGTACCTTCTTGATGGTGCTTATTGTAGTTCTTCAAGTTTCAGCTTCGTACAGAAGAACTGCCTTGACGTTGGTATTGAATATTGAAAAGTAAATAAATCTTCAATTCTTAACCATAATTATATAAATAGTTTTGGCTTGTTTATCATTCCTAATTTACATAGAAATATGAATTCATTTTATACAATCACTTGTTATAGATGTTTTTCTTAAAGATGAATGTCCCATCCGTAAAATTACATCTATGTTATAGATCATGATTGGGTTACAAAATGGAAATACTAGGAAGTATGATTTTGTGATGGTATATAAATAGGAAACTTTTAACAGAGTGAAGCTGATAGGCACTGGGTTAAAAAACGTGTAAAATGTTTCATCAGATTTTCATGAGTTGAATGTGCTTTAAAGAATGCAAGCATGTTAGAATGGGTGATATTTTGGGATGTACTACTTATGTTGACATAAGTAATATATAACGCCAATCAGAAATAGGATTCCTGACAGAAGAAAGTAGAGATTGTAAGAGCGAAGAACGGAAACAGAGAGTAATTGGTATAGAAGTGAAGGAACAATAAAGTATGAAACAATTACTGAACATTTTGCAAATGAAGTATTTACTGTATGGTTCTCAGATTTTACCAAGATATGCTGTTAGGATTCATTCGCAACAATATTACAATTCTACTGAAAATTAGCTTTAACTATTGAGTATCTTATCAGTGTGGGTTAATTTCCAAACTGGATTTGTTTGGACCATTGACCGGTGGTGAGAAAGATGAATTTATGTTGTTAAATTATTGTTCTGAACCATGTTTGATGTCATTGATGATATTAATAATCAGCTTGTTAGTATTCATTAATTTATAAAACTGTTTCTACGATTCATCTATGATTCATCTAAAATACTAAAGCTTGTATGGTAATTTAGATTATATAATGACAGATTAGATATAAATAGTCCTGTCAAAGTATTCGATACCTAATTCTCATTTTATATTAATATTTCAAATAATTGAGTTATAAATGAACAAAATAACTACCTGACTAATTTTGTTGTGTTGTTGTTGAGATAAGCGATAATCTACTACTGTGATGTGTGCTACTAATGTCGACAGATATAAGTAGTATGTATCATCAATTGAAAGTGAAATGTCTGGTGGCGGAAAATTAAGAAGATCGAAGAAATGAGAACGAGAACAGTGAATGATTAGTGTGGAAATAAAGGAACAGTGAAGTCCGAGACGATTGATTGATATTTTGCAAATGAAGTATTTACTGTATGTTTCTCAGATTTTACTAAAATGTTCTGTAATTTTGTGTTGTATTACATTCAATTGTCCCGGCGTGTGATCTCGCTCACTACACTATCTACTGTAATGTTGTTAGGTCAGATGTTTATTGTTTTCATAAACGAAAAAATGGAACGGCAATTTAAAACTAAAACGCAATTGGAGATCCATACAGATAACTTCGCAAACTGAACATATCTAATTCAATGTAATCTATATTCTACGTCAATTTCATGAGCTCAATATCAACATTCAAGGTCAGTGTTACACATTCTAGCACACTCAATTATCAAAAGGCGATATGGTATACTTAATGGACTAATCGTTTACAAATGCTTATGAGAGTAAACATCATACTCAGAGAATGAAATTTCTCAATTTCTCACTTAGACAATACATTATACTAGGAAACCATCTTCATCTACACCTCAAAGTGAAAGGTTGACACTATTTCCTATAATGGAATAGTGATATCAGATTCGGTGTATATTTTCATGAAATATATATATATATATATATATATATATATATATATATATATATATATATATATATATATATATATATATAAAAGCTGGTAATTTAATCCACAGATTTGTAGTTCTATTGTTATGATTGTATCATATTACTAATAATGAAATAAAGCTACTTTCAAATAGGATTAGTAGCAAAACATTGGATTTAGGATGTATGTTATTAGTGATACATTACATAACATCAAATGGTTGACTGATATTAACCACCCCTTTTTGGTTCAATGAATCTTATAATATAAAGCTATAAAGTTAGTAAAAATGAAATGAAATTATTTAATGTGGGAATGTTTTCTTTCAAAAGTATCATTTTCTGAAGTCATTTAATCCTAATTATAGAAATATAAAAACAGATTAATCTCTTAAAAACAATATTTAAGGACCTCATTAGATTGTAGTTTTATATATCTAACCATCTTCATTGGTAATATCTAGAATATTCTTCGTATTATTTGCTATAAGTTACAGTAATTAAATTCGTGGTATACTTACAATATAAGCTGTGATTTAGCTAGATATTTCTAGGTTGACCAAATTGACTTATAATATCTCTATAGTTAGTTGTCATCTTTATCATTCACATTGAAGTTAGCTATAACTTATAAGACAACTTTAAATAATCATAGAGCCCTTTATTAAATCAGGATTGTATCTGGTAAAGGAAAATACGAAATATATTGTTTTTCATTCAGGACTTTTCAATTAGTTAAACATGTATTTCAGTGTTGATATTCACAGTGGGACTCGAACCCAGTATCATCCTCTTCAAACATAAATGTGTATTATTATAAACATCAACATTGAAATGAAGGTATATTTAATTGATATGGTACACATGCGATGAAAAGCGATTCCGGTATTTAAGTAACACTTACTACCTAACTTTAATTAAACCTTTAGTTAGATGATGATGTCAAGGCGGTTCACTAAGGATGTACATATGTCAATGGAAACTAATCAGTTACGGACCTAAACATTAACAACGAGAAATACCATTCCTTTACATACGAAGCATTCCTATGTTTTGCATTCCCAATCATAATAATGAACATTGAAATCATAATTGCATATACAATTTTTAGTGAAATATTTCAATAATACTTATCATCTCGTTTGTCATTGTAAAATTTTCACACGTAGAACAATGGAACAACTTGGAAGTATGTCCTCCGATTTATCACAAAAATCAACAAAGAGACTATCATTCAAACAAGATTGCTTAAATAGTCCAGCATCACAGCCAAATAAACTGTGTGAAGAATCAATTATGGAGTTTCAAAAATATTGTACAAAGAATGGTGTTAATACCCAGAAGAAACGATTAAACTTGCGTCTAAGACGTGGACATACAACTCTACTTAGTCTTACGGGATTAGAACGAAGCGATATATCAAAATCTGATAAAGGTGGGAAAACCGATGACAGTTATAATGACTTTTCAACCACTTCGTTATTTTATGATCAACCAAATGAATCACTATATGACAATGATAATACATGCTACGACAATCATTCACACCGTTTTATTCTATCAAACAATGTATCTACAAATGTATTAATTAATGAATACATCCCAGATGTTTTACCACTGACGACAGCTAATCTTTCAAAGTAAGTTTTTCTAGCTGTTTTGAGAATTTTGATGATGTATTTAGAAATCATGTATTTCATTTTACTGATCATGATTACTGATCTTCAGTATTAATCCAAAATAAATACTATTTAAGTAAAATGTAGAATAGTATAGAAGAGTGTATCTTAACTATATAACCATGTTATAATTTACATCACGAACTGATCTTATTAGGTAACCATTGAAAATCAAGAAGCAGTAGACATCTACCTCACTATAGTACATGTTATAACTTGCAGCCTGTGTGCCCTGTTAATGCATAACGTAACGATACCGCCAATTAGGGCCCCACTAAATACTGTTTACTGACAATTACTGATGAACATGAAAATGAAATATAGGGCGTCTTATTGATGGTTTCTAACATGGCAAACTGTAACCTAGACGAATAATCACAACATAGTCTGTCAGATTGCACAACCATTAAGATCCGCCTTAAAAACAATGCTTTCGGGTTATCGTAAAAAAGTGCTTATTAAGTTATCCTTACAATATCTCAACGGATTAAAGTGGCTTAGATTACAAAAGTATCACATTCGACCGTGATCATCTAGATTGAGTTTTTATTTACGAACACTAATAAAGAAATCTAAAATCTAAAAAAGTCATTTCTGAGATATCGATTAGTGATCACAGATGTCTTAGAAATATTCCTTGCATCTCCTGGGATCACCGAACAAGTAATAGTGAGGTAAGACGCAATATATTAAAGAATGATGGTAAATCAGTTGAAGAGGTTTTAAATCTTGGTTGGTTGGAGCACTTGTTACATATACATGAACACCGATTACCACGACGCACAATGAAGACTTGTATTGGAGACGGTTAGAAGACAGTTAGGGGCGGCCAAACCAAAACGTGGCATCAGTCATTGAAGTCACTAGCTTCTAGTCTGCACCATGTTAGTAAATGCAGACTACTTGGTTGGGGTCTGTGTGACTGTCGTAACCAATAGTTGGAGACTCGGGGTGACATAGCTAAGAATCGATCACAATGGCATAGGTGTATCCACACTCTGTCTTCCCTTAAACTATGAGATTAAAATTATGTCATATCTTTCTTTCTACAAACTAATTCTTTCTTTGTGTACTATATCCACACATAAAATCCTTCCTTTTTATATTACACCATTGAGTCGACCGCTCCTATGAATCCAGTGTTCGTCCTGCTATGCTAATGACATGGATCAGAATCGATCAACAGGGCGTCAGTGTATATACTCTTTGTCTACCCTTAAACCATAAGATCGAAATTGCTTTATATCTTTCTTTCTACCAACTAATTCTTTCTTCATGTACTATATCATTATAAGCAATCTTTCTTTTAAATATTAACACCATTGAATTAACTACTTCTATGAATCCGGTGTTCATCTTATTATGTTAATGAGGTGTGTCAACTTGGATCGATTCATTTATGTGCCTGGTCCTACATTGTAGCTGACTGAATGACTACGTTGAAACATATTTATGATAATCAAGTTTTATACTTATATGATGTCAAGCTACCCAGTTTTCATGATTTATCACATTGAATAAATATTTCAATCACCATAGGTTTGAAAGCAACAGTTGTTCATCTGATTATCAACAATTATATGTTGTGAAACTTCAACTTAAACGATCTTCTCAGCACTTCGTCATAATGATCAACATGTGGCTACTCGTGAATAATTCACAGGGGTAACTACTTTTATGAATTTGGTATTCATCTTGTTGCGCTAATGAGGTATGGCAACTTAGACCGATGCATATATGTGCTTGGCCCTAAGTAGTAGCTGACTGACTGATTGACTAACTGAGAACTGATTTGTAATATCATAACAAATTTTATTGATCGATATTATTGATTATTGTATTTTAGTTTATTTTAACCAATAAAATCATTATCATTTTATTTCATAGTTAAATAATTAATTATATAACTTCATTTACCATTCTATTTATTAAGGTATACAGTGAAACATGAGATTATTTATTGGAATCATGTATTATCTCAACAAATTTCTATGGAATTAATGAATAGACTAAATGATGATAAAAATGTGGTAAGAATATAATCATTGAAGAAAGTTACCTATTGTTTTTGTTCTTCGTTGTTTTATGGTGATATGATCAATGTGTTTGATATGCTTGAATGATATTGAGAGTTCATCTTACTCGGTAAACGGAACAAAAGTCAAAGATACAATGACACGATAGACTAATCTAATCCGTTGTCCCCGGCCCTGATAACTAGATCAAGAACTCTTGATGAGGTATAGAGAATGTATTCTACAAGCACCCAGAAAATACCACGTCACTAAGCACACAAATCAAGCTTATTTATAAAATGGTAGAAATCCCCTTGGGAGAGCCACAAAATAGCGTACTTAAAAAATTTTGTCAACCAATGACAGGCAGGGATTTCCGAGTGGGAAATGTAAGCTATAGGTTAACCAAGCATTTGTTGGCGCGAAAACATAAAATTCAAATTTTCAGAATAAAATTACAAAATTAGGATCTTTTCCAAGTGAGTCCTGGAGATTTAACGTCCTCAACAGTGTTGTATTCGTAATTTTTTGTTGTCAACTAATTCATCAATATGTGATAGTTCTTAAAAGTTTTTTTGAGAAAAATAATTGCCAACTAAGTATTGATTATATTTAAAATCAATATAATCAATTGTATATAAACAAAGTAACTAGTACCTTTATCACTTGAAGGTGTTACATCTTTGATAAATTGAAGAGAATGTTTTCAAAAAAAAACATGTTCAATAGTCCTTAATTTTTAAATGTTTTCTTGTTGTTATCAATTTTTCATGAAATCCAACTTCAATTAATATTCACAAACCTAGTAAGTAAGCAATAATCGTTTCAAGATGAAGACAACTAGTGTAGTCACAACAGCCTGTGCATCAGTAGGCCTCAACATAGGCAAGGAAAAAGCCACACCCTCAAATACAACACGGAAAACACCAACCCAATCACACTTGATGGAGAAACTTTGGATGATGTGGAATCTTTCACACACCTGGTGTTCAGCTGCATCATCTATGAAGAAAGGAAGATCGGATGCAGACGTAAAGGAGAGGATCGACAAAGGAAGGATCGCTTCCTACAATTGAACAAACAACATATGCAACTCAAAACAACTGTCTATCAACAAATATCAAAGTCACAATCTTCTATATGAACTTCAAGACAGTTTATTCTACTGTATGGAGCTAAAAGTGGAGAACTACTACAATCATCATCAAGAAAATACAAGTATTTATGAACAGTCGTCTACATAAGATGCTAAATGTATATGACTTTTATCAAAACTCAAACTTGAAATTCTTTCTTAACTTTTAATTCAAGTCTTTGTGATGATAAAATTATTTAAAGATGTTCATGAACTATCAATAGTGTAATTATTCTGGAAGATGAAAACAAACTGATATTTTATGTGGTTCCGAGTAACATTACACTCAGAATACCCAAAATCCTTAATGAAACAACTAATGTACATATTTTTGTTTTCGTCGATTCCTTACTTGTTATAAATCTAAAAAAATTGGTACTTTGGAAAATTTAAACCACTTAGTAACCTGGC